CATTTGGTTTCTACACTAACCAGAGAGACAGGGCTCTACGCATCGCAACTAAATCATCGTCAGCAGAGCCTGTTCAGGCAAGGCTTATGCTTGTCTGCCAGCCCATATCACTTTTTCTCCCCCCGTCAGGCAGAGCAAGCCAATTCCACAGTTTTACCTTCTGTTACTTGTCTGCCTCCTCCCCATTCGTGATCTGTTTTGTTGTCACTGAGCTTGCTGCTATTGCAAACTCACATGATTCAGACCAGGAGGAGAAATGGAGGCAAAGGAGAGAGAAACAAGAAGGGAGGAACAGGGAGCCACGAGTGACTAGAATCCTAAGAAGTCGACCTAATTTCTGGCCTTCTGCATGATGAGATACACACATTCTCATCCTCACAAACCAGGAGCTGCGTCCTCAGGGAACCTCAAGGACTCATTACAGAAATGAGTGAAGAGGTTGGGACGGAGACAATAGTGACTAGGGGAGACTGTGGCAAACTGCAGAACAGATGCCCTCCCAAAGAGGCAGCTGCTGCTTGGCTCGTCTTTAGGAAGATCAAACCACTTTGCCAGGGTTTCTGATTTTTTCATGAGACTCAGAAAAATGTAGATTTTTTAAAAAAGTCAAATCTCCAGGTATTAAAACATCAGAAACAAATTCATGTTAAAAGAAAACACTGTGAATTAACTATACTTCTGTCGTAAGCCTTCATATCAATAGTTCACTCAATAGTTCATAAGGCAGGTCACAGACTACTTCATTTCACCCTCACAATGAATCTGTGAAGCAGAGATATCCTCTCAGTGATTGGATCAGACATGATTAAGCTCCGTCTGGTATCATCCACTGTTGTTTCCAGTTTCCTTCTTAGAGCTGGTCTTCTGATGTGATGGTAGAATAGTTCATTTAGTGTGTGTCCTCTTCAATCTAATTTCTGAGTGGCATGAAGTCCCACGGCTTTCTTTCTACTCCCAGATGGAAGTTTTTATAGAGATAAACACTTTCTTACCAACTTATCTTCCAAAGTGATTACGATCATCCGAATCAATGTGTTGTGACTTTACCAGGGTTGCAACCTTCAATAATGAAATCAGATACAGTATTGAACATTGCAGGGATTGCTTACCCAATCTAATTCATCTCAGATCAATGAAACACAAAACCAAAATGAAGTCAAGTGTTGCTTCACTAGCTATCCTTACTTAGCGGGGTTGAGTAACCTTGTTCAACTGGACACTGGGAAAAGAAGAAGGCGCCCCATAAAATAGAAGCAGCTATGACCTATGGAGAATGATTCTGCAGTTCAGCCTTCAGTGAAGAGTCTTCCAGAGGCAGTCTGTAAGCAACAGTTAGGTACATCAGAAAGAACCAATAAGCCGCGGATGCCAGGTGGAGAATGGAAAGCTTCTCTGTGTGACGCTCACGTGATCATCGTGTGAGGTTATGATTACTAAGTATGGCAAATTCTATTGACTGCCTGCCCAACAGTCATTCCCAAGACCTTCTTTGCTACCAGAACCCCAATTTTGCTAAGCTGGCAATTATCTCTGTGTTTGAGGTAAGGGAAGCCCTATACACTACGTCACCAGCTTCTAGTTTATTCTTTTGCCTTTCTGATCCAACATACCATAATTTTCCTTGTATAAGATGCCCCTGTGTATAAGACATCCCCCACTTTTCCAACCCAAAATTAAGAAATCAATATTTTAAACATAAAACAGAACACATTTTTATTTAGTAATTAGGGGCCCAGTGCATGAATTCGTGCACCTTGAAAGGAACTGTGGGCCATGAGGCTGCAGTGAGCACAGGGGCAGGTCTTGCTCCATCCTCTGTGCCCCCGCCTGGCCCCTCCCGCTGCAGCCCCCATTCCCCTGTCTGCTGGAAGCCCCACTCCCACCACTGCCATTCCCATGCACTGACAGTGCCGCCCCCACTCGCACCCACTGACGGTGTAGAGCTATTGGGGCTAGTGCCAGCAGCGGGTGTCAGTGGCTGCTGCCTGATTGCCCTTCAGGAGCAGGGAGAGGTGGAGAAGCCCTGAGGGGTGATTGGGGCCAGCAGCTGCCACTCACACCCACTGATAGCACCAAGCAATTGGGGCTGGCGCTGGGCACTGGCAGTGGGTGCGAGCAGGGCTGGCACCATTAGCAGGTGTGAGTGCCTGGCGGGACCGCGGCGCATGAGAGCAAAGCATTTTCAGTAACCACCAGAGGCTCGGCCGGATGACAGTGACTGGCGCCCCTGCCTTGGTCTGGCACCCCTGCTCACCTGATCCACCATCCCGCCACAGCCGACACCTGCCATGTTCTGCGCGCGCCCCCTGGTGGTCAGTGCACATCATAGCAACCAACTGTTTGGTTGTTCTGCTGTTCAGTCTATTTGCATATTAGTGTTTTATATATATAGATTACTGCAGGTAATGTTTACATACCAGTACTATGATATTATGCAGCATACCACTTTATTCAGCCTCTGTTGCATCACTGCTCTCTTCTTCATCTCTATTAGTTCCAGACATATCAATTTCTTCAACTTCTATTGTATCACTGCTGTCTTCTGAGTCACTGTCTATACATGTGAGATCATCCTCATAAACCTGTGGTATTTTCTGAGCTAACTTTGTTTGTGTTCTCATGGCCAACCCTTCTCTCCTCATGAAATTGAAGCACCATTTTGCCTTTCCTATAAAATCCACAATGTTCATTTCGCTTGCAAACATTCTTGCCTGACATTGAGTAAGTTTGGTTGACACACATAAGCTACTCTGGAGCTGCTCCATAATCCAAGTCTTAAGCCTCTGCTCCAAGTTTGCCCATTTTGCTGGTTTTCCTCTTAAGGCCTTCTTCTTTTTCGGCATCTTAAGGAGCTGTTCTTCCTGTTTAGTAGGAGGAGGTCCAAATCATCTCTCTGCAGCTCTCTTTTCATGCTCTTATGCATAGCTGATTACATTCAGTTTGAATTTTGCAGAATGAGACAATTGCTTACCGTTATTTAACTTTTATTTTTTGACATCTTTATGGGCTCAGAATGCTCCAGTATCTGTTGCTTCTGTGCACTCTCCACCTCCACCTCCAATTACAGCATCAGCTGATGTCATTAACAGTAAGGCTCATGACTGGAGGAAGCCTGTTTGACAAGGTATGGGCAGCTACACACCCATGAGGCTCCCTTCTCGGCTGACTTCCATGTATAAGATGCCCCTCGATGTTCAGTCTCACGATTTTAGAAAAAAATAGCATCTTAAACACGGAAAAATACAGTATATATTTTCACTTTTTGTGACAACTCAAAGAAAGACTAATGCCACTGTTGTTGTCATGTCTAATATGTGATCCTCTATTTCTATCTCTGTGGTCATCCAGAAGAAAAACAGTCACGGCTATGCCCTGAGCCACTTGTAATCTCTCTCCTCAGCCAAACCAAGACGCAGCCCAATCACAGGCAAAAACAATCTTATTCTTCTTTAAGTTGCAAAATAAATCGATGGTTAAAAATGATCTTGATAAAATGGCATACACAATTTATTATTAAACTTATTTAGGTTTGCAAACTGTCTGATTTCATTTATTGAAGTTCTAAGAAATGCAAGAGAATGTAAAGGACAGAAAGTAGACGGGTGGTTGCTTGCGGACAGGGTTGGGGAAGTAGGGAGGGTGCCACAGGATGAAGGCATGGAGGAACTCTTAGAGGTGACACACGTTCATTGTCTTCATTGTGGTGATAGTGTCACAAGTATACACATATGTGAATACTTCTCGAATTGCACCTTACATATGTATAGTTTATTCTTCATCAGTCATACCTCAAAAAAGCTCTTAAACTTTTAAATATTATTTAGCTATACAATTTTTACTGTTAATATATTATTTGGAGGAAAAAGTACAGAATAGCATGAAAAGTATGTTTTTGTTAAAATAAATATGGGAGGGGGGTCTCTAAAAATGTATATACACCCTTTGAATAATTATAAAGGCAGTGTTTATTAAAATACATTTCATTTTCAAAACTGAGCTATCAGCTGTTAAAGTGTGTATATATTTTTTAGGGACACCCTGTATACTCATGATAGATGGCTGGAGAAAATACAATAAATTGTTTAGCAGAATCATCTCCCGAACCTCCTTGTTATAGTTCCATTCCATTACTCCTTCTAGGATATAGTTTCCTCAAAGACAATGGATACATTTACAATATTCTTGGTACTTTAAGTGCTCAAGCCAGTATACTGTGAGTTCCAGTTAAATTTAATAATCATTGTGTACATAAGCTGATTTGTTCTTTTTGACGATTTTAACATCATGGCTTCCTCTCTTTCACTAGGCACACAAGGAAATACATTTGTTGGCAATTCAACAATTGCACTCAGTTTGGTACAACTCAGTAGTTTAGATAGCATTCAGATATAATTACCCACTGCATCAAGTTGCTGAATTTCATTAATTACCCTAATCAATGCACATGAAGCAAATGACGCTTTGGGGAACTTTCCCGCTGCTCTTTGCTTGCAGGTGGATGCGGATCAATCCAGGCAAAGCAAATGTATTAATAATCCCTTCCAACCAGCAAATTCCACCACCCACCAGGAAACAAAAAATAAAAACCAGAGAAACAAAAAACCACCAAAAAACCACTCCTAAACAAAAGTTAATTTTGATAATATCGGTTAATAAAAGCCCAGGAATCTAGGAATCGCTTCTATCATGGCAAAAGAGGAAGAATGAGAGAAAAAGCATAGGAATGAGACTGTAGTTAACAGCAAAGCTTCAGAATATATGTCTGAGTGGGAATCCTTGCTCTGCTACTTCAGAACTGTGTGGCGTGGGACATACTACCTTCCCAAACTTCAGTTCTTCAATTGAGCTGTGATTACACTCAAGACTTTAGACTCGAATGCATCTCATTGCCTGTATCATCACCCCCTATGCCACTCTTTATACTCAGCTGATGGCAAGATAGATTTCTCCAGATTTGGATTCCCAAGGAACAATAATACTTTCTCTCAGCAGAAACTTACCGGTCGGGACTGGATTTCTTTGGCGTAGAGAGGTTGCAAGAATTCTGAGTCTCCTTCTAGCTTTAGACCTTTTTCTGTGATTCTCAAGTTTCCCATTCCATCCTGAAATAGAGGCACAGAGGTAACAAGAAAATGCAATTAGTCAAACTTTCAAAATATCTCAGGCTTTCGTGTTAAAACAAAGTGATTGCCCTCCTTTTTTAAAAGAGAGAGTAGAGCCCTAACCGGTTTGGCTCAGTGGATAGAACGTCAGCCTGCAGACTCAAGGGTTGCAGGTTCGATTCCGGTCAAGGGCAAGTACCTTGGTTGCAGGCACATACCCAGTAGGAGGTGTGCAGGAAGCAGCTGATCGATGTTTCTCTCTCATCGATGTTTCTAACTCTCTATCCCTCTCCCTTCCTCTCTGTAAAAAAAAAAAAAAATCAATAAAATATATTTAAAAAAAAATAAAAGAGAGAGTAGAATGAGGGGTAGTTGGGACCAAAGAAATACATAAAATACCAGAAGGCACTGTTCAATGCAATTATGCATACTGTCCTCTTTGCTCACTATGCTAAGAAAATTATATTCTGAGCAATCTGTAATGCCCCTCAGTCATTCACTTGCCTAGATGAAGGGGGTCCTTTTTGCTAGGCAAGGCAGTGCAGAAAGAATGGAGGCAGGTGGTGAATGGGAAGAGAGAAGAGATGATTCCTTACGTTAAAATCAGAGACCCTTTTTTCTAAAACTCTATGCAGAAATCACAAACTGGCAGTCTGTTGGTCAAATCCAGCCTACAGACAGGGTGTATTTGGCTCCCAACACATTTAGGAAGTCAAATTAGTTACTGACATTTTTCCTAATAGTTTATTCTGGAAATATTAAAATATAGACAAAAGTATACAAGCTGAAGACTCAATTTAAGAAAATAAAGCATACACACACATACTAGTACACATACACACATACATACATATACGCTTTAAAAATTTATTCCTCTATTTTGACATAATGACATTAGGAAACGGAATGATTTGAATAAAAAAAATCCAGGTTGTTCAGCTACTCGTAAAAAAATGGAATTCCCGGCAAGTCTCAGCCTGTCTTCTACCATCAGCCGGACTTCAGCAGCAGCCACCTGCCTGAACCACGCTCCAGCCCATTTCACTCACTCTGCTCACACCCCTGCAGTTTCTCACCGGAATCTCCCTGGCACTGCCATGCGCTCTGGACCTCATCACATTCAGCACTGACACCGCGTGGGGGAGGGGGCGTGGGGTACGGCCAAGCAGAAAATGAGCACTTTCCCCCTCCCCGCTTCATAACAGCAGTTTGACCTGTGGCTGGGAACACATCTCTCAGGTAATATTGCTCTTTCCTGGATAGCATGCCATCTGTATGTTTCTATTTTGAGTTCTTGTGGGGACAACTCTGCCAAGAGGGCCCCAGACTGGGCATTCAAAGCCAGGGTGAGAGGCCACCTACTGAAGGGCATGTTCATATCACACCAGCAGCAGGTGGAATCCGCAACAAAAAAGAGAAAATGAAGAGCTATTTCTGGAAAGCCTACTTGTGCATATATCAGCAGTCTCTTGGTATCTGTGGGGGATTGGTCACAGGAACCCCTGCCCTCCATGGATACCAAAATCCACGCTCAGGTCCCTTATAAAAATGGAATAGTATTTGCATATAATCTATGCTCATCCTTCTGTATACTTTAAGCCATTTCCAGATTTCTTATAATGCCTGATACAATATAAATGCTATGTAAATAACTGTTAGACTCTAATAGTTGTTATGCTTAGGGAATAGTGGCAAGAAAAAGTCTGTACCTGTTCAACCCAACCCATCATGGTAGGTCTAACTACATGGTACATGTCAGTAACAATGTAACATTTTCCCACATATTTTTGATCCATGGAAAATTGAATCTGCAAATGCAGAATCCGCAGATATGGAAGGCCGGCTGTAATTGTGTGCTGTGAGCCATGGAGAGTCTCAAAAACATTAAGTCCCTTTCCGTTCTGGCCTCTGAGACTGTATCACAGGTGGTACATAGCCAAAGGGGAACAGCAAGGAAGGTACCAGAATGACTGAAGTTTGAGAAACATTCATCTCATCAGTCAATTAACTCCTTTGCAATAGTAACTTCCCTTTGCTTAAATACCTGACTTGTTAGAAAACTCACTACAAACTTGACGAATCTATCATTTCTTCTACCTACAGTTTCTTCCTATTATTATTCATCGTCACTTCATTTTTCCAGTTTCCCTCCCAGTCCTTAGTTCTGCCTGAAGGCATGTGGTGGGAAAGGCCTGTCAGTATGAATTTTTTTATTGGCCTGTGTTTTGAGAATATAACGCAAAGCAGATTAGAATAGCCAACTGATGTAGTCCACATTAGAGTCTCTTTTATGGCTCTGTAACTATCGGACTGGATTTGATACACATCAAAACAGCTTGAGAACAGCCTCATTGAAACCATTTCCCCTTTAACTGCCTAAGGACCTGAGGAGCATTATGCTAAGCAAAATAAGCCAGTCAGAGAAAGCCAAGTATCACATGATCTCACTCATATGTGGAATCTAATGAACAAAATTAACTGCTGAATGAAATAGATCCAGAGACCTAGAAGCATGGGACAGACTGCCGAATCTCAGAGGGACAGACTGCCGAATCTCTGGTCCAGACTGGCTGCTTGAGGATGTCAAATGGACAATGTTCTGTAAAGTGAGTATAGATTAAAGTGATTTTAGAGTGGCAAGACAAGAGACTGAAATATTAATTTGTTTCCTTCTTCACGTCACTCATGCCAAACCTTGGTCCTTTTCATCATCATTTCAAACAGATTCCCAGGCTTTGTAATCACAAGGCTTAGAGATTTTGAGAGCAAAGCAGCAGAAAAAGCCGAAAGCAGTGAGTGTGTGTGTGTGTGTGGGGGGGGGGTGGGTAGGGGGGGTTGGTCTCACCTATTGTACAAGGTAACTCTGATTGAATGGATTGTGCCAGGTGTGCTGGGACGGGAGGCAAGGAGGAGACTTTTCCCAGCTGGGGGTGGATAAGAGGTCTGTGATTGCCATGAGTTCTATAGACCACTGTCCCCCCAGTGTCCCCAGGAGGGGTTAGGACCTCAGAGGGAAGTGGGCTCCAGACAGTCCAAGGTTCCCCTCCCCCAGGAATAGCAGAGAGGTCTCTTCTCTAGACCTAAAGGGACCACGTGGGTCGGGCCATAATTCTCTCAGCCAGTGCCAATGAAAGACAGTGACTGGTGGGCCCAGGAGCCAAGCACAGGGCAAAGCACTGGGGCATCCTGAAGATCCTAGCGACGTGGAGTGGAATGCCCTGCTGGGCCTTGTGGGAGGGGGCTGGGAATAGGGATTGCATTGATTTGAAGAGAGTACTATTTCGTGCTCCCCGGAATTTCCTGCTCCATCAGCATGAACAGGTTTTTAATCCCGTCAGCACATTTTCAAGCTGGAAGAAATGCCAAGTCCTATTTCAGTCAGCAGGTCCCGAGGCTCTCTCCTGCCAGAGCACTTTTACTGGCCGGCGCTCCTTAGTGCGGATTAAAGCAATTTTATCTAGACACAGATTGTTTTTGAAGGTAAGCTTCATGAGGGGTAGGGTTTTTGTCCGCAGTAGTTTCAATTTCTAAAACATTGCCTAGCTCAGAGTATGCAATCAGCAAATACTTGCCACGGGATAGAATTGCTTCCTTCTGAGTGCTGCATGTTGAAAGTTATTGTGGGGATTATAAGAATGATAAGACCTAGGCCTATCCCTGGGGTAGATTCCAATATATTAGAGCATGCATTCTCAACTAGTGCGATACAGCCCCCAAAGGGGGGAACACTGATCATGGGGGGGGGGGGATGTGAACACCTATGCAGTAAGCTCCCTGACATTGGTCTTAGCAATGTTTTCTTGGATTTGACTCCAAAGGCAAAAATGAGCAAATGGAATTACATCAAACTAAAAAGCTTTTACACAGTGAAGGAAACCATCAACAAAATTAAATAGGAGACGATATTTGCAAATCATATATCCGATAAGGGGTTAATATCCAAAATATATGAAGAAGTACTATAATTCAATAACAAAAAGAAACAATTCAAGTGAAAAATGGGCAGAGGATCTGAATAGTAGACATATTTCCAAAGAAGACATACACATAGCCAGCAGCACATGAAAAGATGCACTTATATTTTATAACAGCTTATAAAGTTGCTTTTAACAATTTATAGAGCCAAGGCTATAGTATTGGAAGCATTCTGTATTTCCTGGTTGCCAGGAGCACTATATGGATGGGCATTCCTTGGTTTATACTTTTCCTGGGGGTGAACCAAAGAGGAGGGATTCCTCCCACATACACGCACACAGGTAATGAGCCTAATTCTCTTTATTTCCAAATTGTTTTATTTCTCCTTGCCCTTTAGGGCATTCCTAGCAGTCTTTTGGAAACCACTTTTTCTTAGTCACTGGAACACACACACACACACACACACACACACACACACTTGGGTACATTGGCTAAGAATATGAGTTCTGAAATCAGACTGCAAGGGTTAAATGTTGGCTTGACCACGTAACTTGTTGGTACCCTTTCTACAGCTCACTCTTCCTTAAATAATAAAGATAATTATATTTTCTAAATTTGAGGGATACATGAGACAATCCATGTGTATCAGTCTACAGAGGCTAGGTTATATACCACAGTAACAACAACAACATTCTCAATGGCTTCAAACGAGTAAGATTCAATTCTTACCCAAGCTACATGTGTGAGGAGGTTTAGCAGAGAAGTCAGCCTATACGATGACACAGGAGTGACCATTTGAACACGTGGCTTCTCTCTGTGTCTTTGGAGACAACTAAGATTATATTTCCTCACTAATGAAAGTTTGGCCATGAGATATGCTGTGGCTGGGAACTGTGAGCATAAATGAACTAACTTGCAGCAGGTGCTATAGCAGCCCGGGTGTGCTTGCCTGGGCTCTCCTATTAGTCAATCCCTCTATCTGATTGAAAGCTTCTCACAGACAAGGGCGGAATCTTCCGTGTCTTTTCTTCCCAACCACCTATCATAATCCCTGACACAGAGCAGACAGACAGTCCAGAGTGACT